TGTAAAATGAATCCCACAGAGATGCACATGGCTAACTTCATTTTTATTATTTCTTAATAATATTCATATACCACTTACTGTAAAAATATCCAAGTAGTATTTTTATACAGGTTCCAAATGTTTAGGAGAGTGTAAGGGTGTAATCTGGTACGTGCCAAAGATCGCACCTTTAAGTTATTGGATTTACAAAGTCCCCAGTTTTCTTCTGTTACAGCTAAGTACCTTTTAAACTTTTAATTTGCTTATGACCTAGCCAAAATTTCCTTCATATTTAATCTATTCTGCAAAATCTAAAAATCTGCAAATCTGCAAAATCTAAAATCTGCAAATGTGCAGTCATATAATAAATGTCTTAAGATTTTTAAATGCCAGATTTCCTTTCTTTTTGGGTCAATACTGTGTTTAAATATTAACTATGTTTTTCACACTGGAACAAACCATTTATATAAACATTTATTTAAAACTCAGTTCAGCACAGCCAAATGGAAGACTTTAAAAGACACAAGAAATTCAAAAACTATATTTATGAATACCACAACCAAAGATATTCTCCCAATTACATATACATTATATAATTTTCCAAGACTGAAACTTGTAACATCATCTTATTAATCATAGGTTTGCATTTTAACTCCAATTTATCAATACGGGAAGAGAGAGCAATTCCATGGATTCTAATAGGTTGTCAGTCCATCAATTTCCAAATAATTACTGAACATAAATCCCCTGTTGATTTTCTAATTGAAAACCAAATAATTTAGGTTTTGACTCTTTATCCTATACTGAAAACTCATAGCTAACTCTTGAAAAAAATTGATAATTATTTAACTGGTTCCATTAAACCTAATATATGCCATTGTTCTACATAAATTGTAATAGCTTTAAACTTAAAATGATACTTTATTTATAGCATGTTATTAAGTAAATCCATTTTCTACAGAATATGCCTGCTCTGTTTTATGAATAAATGACATTATCAAGCCAAGAGAGAAAAGAAATCATTCACCATAAGCCTTACTGCTGTTGTACAAGAAACAAGGACTACAGACACAAACGCACAGACAGAGGCAAGACAGAAATAAATCAGAGCCCAACAACTGTAAGGGACTATTAACTGATCAGATTCTAATAGCAGCTATTGTGCATAACACTCCATCATGCACACAAGAATAATAATTTTAAGAATAATAATTCAACTTTTAAGAACAATAATTCAACTGAGAAATGGTAGAATGATATCTAACCTTCAATTAGCATGTTGACGTTACAGAGATAACTTTGTGGATTTAACCATTTTTCATGTAGCTTCCTGACATGTTACATAATCATTGCTTGCTATTTCTACATGCTCAAATTAAAATACCATTGTGCTGAGACACAACCTATGCCACATGCTAGGTAGCACCACTGAAAATCGCTGTGCTTTTTAATTCTGTCACTGGAGGAACAGGTACCTCCCCATGATGTGTTTCAGGAAGGACGGACTGATGGACAGACAGAAGGCAGGCAGGCAGGAAGCATTTGTTTGTTCAAACAAATCTGTTTGTTCATTTGTCACTGGCCTGTAAGGTCAAGATGCTCTCGTGCGCAGAGTGGCTCACAGCTCAGTGTCCTAGCTAACCTTTTCAATCAATACACTGACTGAAAATTTTCAGTCCCTTCAAAGCCAGAATTCCTCCTGGAAGCTACTTTTATTCTACTCAACCTAATGGAAAACACCCTTGGATCTTCTATGCACCATTTGACAGAAAGCAAGAAAGGGATCAGAGGTTGGCCCATTCTCTCGTGGCACATCTCTGGAACTCATTCCCTGGGGAACATGCCTGACACCGTGTCTGTCCTCTTTTCAGTGCCATGGGAACAGTTTTTCTAATTGACTCGGGCTTTTAAGGATGTCTAGTCTGACCTATCTTTTAAATTTGGTTTTTCAGTGCTACTTTATTGTCTCAAAATTTATAAACAGTTTTGGGAGAGTTGTATACCAGAAAAGCAGTATATAAATAAATTATAGATTGGGCGCAGAAACCAACTATTTCATTGGCAAGTGGATACCTTCCCCAAGAGGGGAATTAATATGTGGAAACAATACTTTAGTCTTATTTACTCATCAGAATTCCACTCACAGAATCATGTGTGCAAGAATGGCTTTATATTAAGCCTTAATTAAGGAGAGTTATTTACAGAGAAGCTGCCGGGATGCTCACTCCCATGAAATTCCTCTTGCATTCTTTGTACGGACTTGCTCCTTTTCTTTTAAGAAAATATTCCCAGAGGCACAGGTAAAACAGACTCAGATTTAGGCTTGTCCACCACAACTTGTCTACACAACCTCAGGATCCAACCGCTTACCGTAGTTAATACAAACTGACTTTGACAGGAATTCTGCTCTGCAGCAAAGATATTATCAGGCCCAAACAAAATAAGAAAGGCATCAACTGCCTGTAGGAAGGAACATCAGAGGGCAAACCTTGCTTTCGTGGGGCTATTTGTTTTGTTTAGTTCTTGAGAGTTTTGTTTTGTTCTTGAGAGTGTGGCTCTTAGTGTAACCACTGTAAGCCTTTCTGAGACATCTAGTCAAAAAGCAGGATATATATATAACTATAATTATAATCTTTAACCATTCCAGCTTTTGAGTAGGCAATCTGATGGCTGTCTTCACTGCAGTAGTGCACTTTTCAATATTTTGGGAAGACATCGACAGGAGTACCTGTATTCATATTGTAAAAAACGAATCCTGTTAGGAAAAACACAACCTTTTCTGCTTCAAAGAAGTTAAAAATAAAAACCAAACAAAAATGCCTTTAAAATATTGGGGTTACAGTGGTGCTTTGCTTGGCTCTGGAGTGAAGAGAGCTGGAAGACAGTGCATTCTTTTGTCATTAGCCCAGAGTTGCCTAGTTCCTGAGACACGTATGCTTACTCAGGAATAAATCCCATTAAAGCACCACTACATGTATTTCATGTATGTGTTCCAGGTACCTAAATAAAGCGCCAGATGTGCCTAATTTGACTGTTCATTGTGTCTAGTGATTCTTGACAGATAGTTTTAGTTTGATATTTTAATCAGAATGCTTCGATAATTTTAAATGCATTGGATTCCATTTTGCTTTTTTTATTTAAAACTTTTGTATCCTGTCCACTACTGAGGTCTCAGGATGGTCTTGCAATACCATATTTTATGCAAGCTCTCTTGTGGACACACTTGCTTTTACTGCTCCGATCAAGTCAAACGATTTAAGCCAGACTGCTCCATTAATGTCGAGGATTTTACAGTATATTGGCAGTGCTTTCAATAAACCCATTTCTCCAGTTATATGTGCATCATTCATACCCACACAGACACCATCTGCAAAAAGACAATGAGGAGGGAAGCAGATGTAGCAGATGCCCCCTTTACCTCTGTCAAAGGTCCCAGGGTCTAACACCAATTAGTAATAGGCAAGAGACATAATAAAGCAGCACTAGATGTCACTGCTGAGCCCAGCTCACTCTATTTTAATTTTTCATTCTGATCACACAAACCGAACAGGGCAGATGTATCAAGAGCTCAACTAAGCTGAATGAAGCAAAGATGTACAATCAGGCAAGTTATGTACAATCATTTTAAGGTAAGAACGTGGAACTCAAAACACCTGCTGATACTGCTTATATTCAAAACGCAAGGACCAATACAGGAACTTCATTTATGTGAGTTTGCAAGGGACGGTAAATAGAAATCTTCTGCCTTTTGCCCACACCCCACACCAGCAGAAAAAGCTTTATATAATGGGGACCATCTATGTCCTTTACTAAAAGCTTTGCTTCCCTTACAGAATTACAGGCTTCCAGCACCAAATCAGAAATATATTACTGTGCTTTACTGTGCTTAATCAGAGCTTTCCATGGTTAGGAATGCTATTCTCTTTGTGGGTGCTTTGATTACACCCACCTATGCCCTCCTATTTCTCTTCAAAAATTGCAGCTGGAATTCCTAAGAGCATCTCAAATTTCTACCTGTTTTCTTCTCAGCAGCAAGGAATCTACCACCAAAACTGAGACACTCATCATCTGATTTGTTGGTGCTTAGAAGTTTCTTTGTAATCCTTAAGGAAGTCTCTTTCAATCTAATGTGGCCCAAATGTTTTGGACTTTCGCGCCAATCAGCCCCAGTCAGTATGGCCAATGGTCATGAAAGATGGACATCGTAGTTCAACGCATCTGGAGGATTCCAGGTCATGGAAGTCTACTTAAGAACATCACTTTAGATTTAAAAGGATGGCATTTAACATCTGAAGATTTTGTCAGAGAAGAAGATTTAGAGGAAATATTTTGCATTGCTGTCTAAATTTGTGCACCCCTAACAATATGCAATTTATAAGAACTTCATGGAACTATTCCATGAAGACAGCTATTCCAGACATGATGAGTAACCAAAATTCCATATGCTATGGTCATACAAAGTGAACACAACAGATCTTCCTTTGTATCCTATTAACATTTGAATTTGCCTCACTCCATAAGCAGGTTTATCACTTTGTTTGTTGAGAAGTGCAAAGCACAAAAACAGATTTACAGAGACTTTGCCTTAAAAATGGGCAAGTGGAAAGCTTGTCCAGGGTGCCAAGCTGAATGGGGAACAAAGCTGAACTTGGGGACTAAGCATTTGAGAAGTGGAATTTTCTTTCCCCTATCAGTGGGCTAGGGCATAAATAAAATAAAATAAAATAAACCTTGTTAACCTTTTAAAAACAGTTCTTGTGCACAAAAAATAAAAGAGGTATGCTGATAAAGGGCACTCCTTGCACAGAATCTGTTTATCTGTTTGCACAGAGTCCATTTTTCCTAAAGTAGGATTTCAGTTCTCATTTTAAAAGCAGATTTTTTGTTGTAGCACAGCAACGTAGACACGGATGTGTTATAGATATAACTTTTGGGATCAGTATTGAATGTCAATTATTATTCATTCTAATGGATTTATCAGATTAAAACGTACTTTAAATGTAAGTGGAAATCAACCTGACCTGATGACATCGGTCTTGGATCTCCTCTGTCGTTGCTCCCTCTCTGGCACCATGTGCCAAGTGAAGACCAGTCTCCAGTCAAAACCACCTATCTGTGGTTCTCCAGCATTTCCCAAATATTCAAAAGTGTTCCAGTCAATCACATCTATCACGGGACAGACAACAGCCGATGGTTCTTCTTTAATTCTGCATAAGTTTATAAAGAAATATTTGCTTGTTGGTGACCGCAACAACAAATCTCAAAGATTATTATGTGGAAAACCAACACATATCCTTTTTACAAGTTAAATAGTTTATACTTTTTTCAGTTTTTATAATGCTTTTTCTATTCCCCTCTTAAGTAGATATGATACCTTTTCCTCTAGCTTAATTTCTCTTAAACTTCTGGAATCACTCTCCCTTCTCCTTGTTCTTCCCCCCACCCCATGCAACCCTGTTCTAGAGATGTGAAAGCCTGAAGGAAAAAGCAGAAAAATTGCTTCCCCCTCCTTTTTGTTTTTCAAGGTTTTCCAATGGAAAACGTTCTATGAAATGTTTTCTCTTTTAGAATAAATGACATGCTTTCGCAGACAGTCTTTTACTCAATTTGCATAATATGATTTCATGTAAGACAAAGAATGAAAGTAATTATGGCATGCACTTCAATTTCTATCAAAATGTTCATTCCCACCCCCCAAAAGCAGGGGCAATATTTTTGCCATGGCTTTCAAATCACCTAAAGATTTACAACTTTATTCTGAATCAAACTGTTTGGTGGATCAACACAGACATTTTCAAAGCAGCTGAGAATGTTCAATCTACTACTAGGATGAAGATTTATGGAAAAGAGCAAAGGGATATTTATTTATTTTAGCACGAGTGTTTGCCTTTACCCTTACCTGTGAACTTTAAATCCAAAGTGCAACTAAGCATCTCCTTCCTTCATCCACTGCCAGAAAAGTTCCCACAAGTTATCTCAAAAGAGAACTTTCATTCCAGAAGGAATGTGTCCTATCATTTGTCTTGCGGCAAAAGCCAATTACTACTAACTCCCAATCTTTACTTCCCCTTTCAAAACTCCTTAGAATATGTGGCAATCCCACCTCTAACAAGGGCATCTCATTCCACAACTTCAGAACCTGGCCCTAACCTGTCTTTCCCTACAATGGTGCCGTCCAAATGTCTCGGACTTCAGTTCCAAGCATTCAAGACCATTGGTCATGCCAGCGAGGATCAATGTGCCTTGAAATCCAAAATCCAAAATGAACAGGTTTGGGTATGCTGTTCTAACCTAACAAAATGCAACAGCCTGGATGCTGTAAGTCTAATCAAAACAGCAGAAACTTTAGATAATGAATATCATTAAAGGACACAAGCAGTGAAATGCAGGAGAGGCAAAAGCACTCTGTTTAACAAGCGCATTCTATAAAAGGAAAATTAAGCACAAACACTCTAACTGCTGGAAAGTTTCAGACTTTTTACAGTTTAGCCATCACGACAGAGCTGGAAAGTAATGTCTTTTACTCTTTTGATGACTGCTTATAACAGCCAGTGTGGAGCAAGGCAACAGTTCAGAGCCAAATAATAACAGGGAGGGTTCATACTCAGTGCTCTTCTCCCCGTCCCTGCCCCCACTCTCACCAAACACAACATCCAGCTGGGTCAACGGGAATGAAACTGCCTTTACTTGCATAGTAATGTTCACACATATATTTTGAAAAATGTACCGCCATTCTAACAGGCTCAGGGGATCCTCTCTGAAGAAGAGCAACATTTAATAACAGAAAGGTAGACAAAAAGGGGGGTGGGAGAGAAAAAAGCTTATATTGATGCTGCCTAGCTGTACTCTTTTACAGCAAGCATCTTCAAAGACAGTGACGAAAATTCAGAACAAAAGAGATGCTGACAGAGATACAAAGCTGCTGGATAGTGGAATGTCCACCTCTTTAGCATTGCAAAGTTCAAGACGACTCATGTTACTCACTCTTCAGTCCAAGTAGCTTCAAGAACAGAGTGGCCCATCGTTCCTGACTGGGTTTGTCAGTAAAATGACCACAATCGAGGCAGACAAGTCAGCTGTAGAGCACTTGCGAGACAGCCAAAGCAGAAGAGGGAAGAGGAGGAAAGAGAAGATGAAGTCAGAGAAGGTGAGGAGAGGAGAGTGAGAGAACTAGTACAGCCAGTGTGAGCGATGCACAGAAATTAAAGCCAAACAATTTAAAGACAAAAACTTACAGCATCCACCACGAAGGCACACATGGGCCAGTTCACACAATCCAAACAAGTCATGGGGCTTTGTTGTGAGCTGCAGTGTGTGCTGGGTGCAATTTGCATCATCACCACCTGGCCATGGCTTATCATGTCTGAACCCAAGTGACATGGCTAGTTGAAGGGATAAACAACCCTCAAAACACCATGCCACATAAATTATTTGAGGGCTGTCAAACCATCCAAGCCATTAGAGGACATGATAAGCTGTGGCAGGGTAGTAATTATGTACAATGCACCAGGCACATGGTGTGACATGTTATGGCTCTCTAGTCACTGTGGAGCCACAGTGGCTTGTTTCGATCATGCCAACTGGGTCACTGACCTGACTTGCATGAACAAACAACGCACTGAGAGTTGTTTAAGCCACAGTTAGTTGTGGCATGTCAGCTGGCATTTTTCGTATTTAACCCTAACTGGGGAGTATTGTGTCATCCAAACCCAGCTGCCATGTGTTCTGCAAGGGTTTAACAACCCTTGCATAGCCCAAGTTGATCTAATGCAGATCACATAACCCTGGGTTAGGAGTTGGAGATGTACATGGCTGTCAGCATTCTGCAACAGTTTGCTGTGGCTTCCGCAATCCATGGTGGGTTGTTTTATCATGCAAACCAGCTCACAGGCACTCCTCTCCGCCCCAATTTATCGGTCAGCAGTGGCAAGGGGGCAACAGTCGCATAACATTCACAGCAGTACCATATGCTAGGAAATAAGTTGGGCCAATGATTTGAACCTATGTAGTGTCAATGACACAGTTTCGTCATCTGATTTCTAATTTCAAACTTCCGACAGTGTCTTACCACCTAATTGTTTTGCAAGGACCTTGCAAAAGAGAGAGAGCGCATTCTCAAACTCTTGTGACACGGCACTAAGCTTATTCTAATCTGGTGCACAGTGATGCAGCAGTAGCCCGAGGACTGGACACCAAACAATTCCTAGGCATACAGGAATATTCTAGTATGGACTAGAATCCTGTAACAGGATGATTGCATTGCTAATAGAAGCTAATGTCCTGTGACAAATGTATTAGTTACCAGCACAAACAAGTGCATAACCGCCCCCTAACAAGTTAAAAACAAAAAAAAAAAAACAAAAACAAAACCTCAGACCAGAGAATGTGTGAAAAGGCTATACCAACAAAAGACAGATAAATACTAGGAAGAGAATTTACTTTCAGCCCAAATCTAGCACGACATTGCCATCTTGTGGATTACCCACCGTATTAGAAAAAGAATTCAAAACTGGTTTGACAAATAATCAATGAGGAAAGTAGTATCCACGTCTATAAACCAGGTATGGGGAACGGTCAGCTCACAGGCCAAGAAACAAGCTTTCCACATGGCTCACTAGACTATTCCCAACTTCCCCATTTTTCTCCTCTCTCTTTGTCTCTCCACCGGATTGCATGAAGCACTAAATAGCACAGAGCGTATAAAATGAAAAGCAAGCATTTTGGTGAACACTGCTGAAAAAAATATGTAAATGTTCTCCAATGCCTTTTACTTCTGAATATAAATAAGAAGTGTTTGCCTGAACATTACCTTTCCAATAGTGGTTCAAGCCATTCTTCATGGCATTCACAGTGGCAATCAAGAAACGTAAGAACTTCCCCCTTTGCTATAGAAGCTCCCAGCAGTCTTGCTCGAACCAAGCCTTCTCTCTTATTTGCCCTGATAAGCCGTACCTTGCGCAAGTTAGCCACATAGTTCTCCAAAGCTTCCTTTAAGTGTTCTGTAACAAAGGGATAAACAAATTGGATTTATGCAATGCAGCTGACAGCAAACCAGTTTTTCCTAAAAATGCCACCTATTTATATTTCTTCTCAATGTATTAATTTTCAAAGTATTTGCATGCCACCGTTCAGGGCAAAGCTATCCCAAGATAATTAGTTTCACATACATATGTGTAGCAGGACAATTTCATTTCATATTCACAACAGGTATACTGTGTTTCCAAAAGATTCCAAGCACAATCTACTTGTAATGCTGCCAATCCAGGCCTCAATATTCTTCCTTTTACCCATCAACTATTGATAGCCAAGTTTATCCACCAAAGTTAATTTACAGCCCTTTTGAAAATGTCTGAAAAGTTCTGGAATTTGAACAGCTTATCTTTTCAGGTATGGATCAGAGCAAGGATAGTCAACCTGGTGCCCTCCAGGTGTTTTGGATTACAAATCACATACTCCCTAATCACTGGCCATGCTAACTGAAGTATATGAGAGTTGTTGCCCAAAACATCTGGATGTCTTCCAGTTGCCTAGCTCTGCCTTAGACTTCTGTTCTTGAAAGTCTTTCACATGGGCATGACACCAGTAATTCAACGGGTGATGGAACTGGATCTACAGTAAGTACAATGGAATGAATACTGCTTTCTCTCCTTCTGGTGGTCTCCGCAATGTTAGCTGGTAACCGGAAGATTCTCAACTGGTGCAGTTGATATCCAAGCACAGTGGACAGAGATAAATGCTCTTTCCACTCCCTCTACTAGCCTCAGCAATAACATTTACACTGGTTCCATGTTACATACCATTTTCACTGCTCATCAGTTAAAGTCCTGCACAACTTTTTTTAAATAAGATGTACAGATGGGGTATTAAACTATGGCCACTGAAAAGTGATTTGCAGAAATATTAAGCAAAGGCCACACGTACAATGCAGTCAGTTTCATGGCATCTCAATGAAAGAAACTTTCAGTTTTATTACCATAACAAACTTGTCATTTTATTCTGATACAAAGTTGTAGAGTTCATTTCTAAAGGGGCCTGTGTTTGTCTCTAAGTTTCACAGGAAAACTGCTGTGAAAGAATCACGAAACAGCTTACCTTTATCACTGTAATCATCAACAAGTATAACTTCTTCTAAAAGAATATCAGGAGATGTTTCAAGAACACTGTGAACTGTTCTCAAAAGTGTTGACCATGCCTCATTATAGAAAGCTATCACAACTGAAGTCTTTGGCAAGCCATAATAATCATATTTCTTCTCTCTGCATCTATAAGGAAAGCATACCATTATTTTGAAATTAAGCATATTTCAGCAATTTATGCAGAACTGAGGTGAATAAGCAAAGATCTGATTGACCGTTTTCTGCTGTGAGGAAGAAGTTTTCTTGGACTATCATAGAGTACATTCATAAATTAAAAACCAGCTCCATAAGGAATATCTTCCAATTTGTGTTATCTTAGTAATGCATAAATTATATCTGGGGGTTCAGGACAGTACCCAGACACTCACCAGAATACACAACCAAGGACAACTGCCACGTTGCATTACTTGTGAATGCCACTCCCATTCTGGTATGACTGGTCACATGTAAATATGTTTTTTTTTAAGTGCAACCAGAATTGTATCAGGAGAGATACTGTTGGGATTTAAATATATGTATATATCACTTGCTCATAATAGTTTACTAAACATTTTCACAGAATGCTCTTGCAATAATTAACAATATTCTTCATTTGAGATCCATGCTATTTTTTCAAGCAAATGTATTGACAGATCACTTGAATTTTCAAGTATTTGTCTGGTTTTCCTCACTGGATGCCTTTTAAATTTTGTGACTGTTGAATTAACTATACCAATTACAAGATTAAAACTTTACAGACAATTACAGAGAGAGTACCCCCCCCCCCAATCTCTCTCCTTTACCCCACCCCTCCTATTCCCTGGCCAGTAGATTGACAAGGACTGCCCTGAGTCTCAGAAGCATGGATGGCAGAAGTCATCCTATATTGCCACTGTATTAAGTCATGATCTATACTCTCTGTCTTTCTTCTACTATAAAGAAGCAAAATGGTTCCAGTTCTCTGAGATCTTACACATTGTGTCTTCAGAATATTTCTCTTCCTTTCTAGCTCTTCAAGATTAGGGCATATAAAATTAATCTTCTCATTTTTCTGATTTCTATTTCACTCACTAATGATCCGATTGTTCCCTTTTCAGGGTTAAATCACAGAGTGTTTTGTGATGGGTATTTCACCAGGAGGAAAAGCTTCCTCTTGATGTTCATGTGGGGAGTAGTCTTGGGAAAGTGCCCCCCCCCCACAGTACAAAATGTGAAAGTGCTATCTCTGATCCCTGAAAAAAAATTAGCTATATGTAGCCAGGCAGAAAGACTAAAGCTAAGCTCTATCCGTGTGATGGAAAAGTACACACCATTAGGCTAATGTTGCACTAGCTGACACAGGTATAAACATTTATAGTCCCAGGAAGTGACGCAGTCAATTTCTTTGCCGTGAGCAATCTTTGATCATGTTATAAATCTGATATTTTAGGTAACAAGCAGAGGTGAGCATGATGAAGAGACTGCAGCCCACTCTGACTAGTTTTGACACGGTGTCTGCTGCATACACTAACAATGACATGGGACAGAACTTTTTCTAGTGTTTTGACTTTTCCATGGTGGGAAGAACAATTATCCAACTAGGAGTGGATATGAATTGCAAACAGAATATTAAGAAAGCTTGGCAGGTTCAAAGTTGTAAATGAGTGGTTATCAGACTATCATTTACATTCCTTTGGGTTGTTGATTATTGTGCCAACCATTTCAGTGTTTCAATTTTTTTCTTACATTTAAATAATGACCTGGTTCACATGTCATGGGGGCAAGTCCTGGGTTGCTTAATCCCAGGGTTGAGCAGTGCACTAAAGCCATTTAAACACATGGAATTGTGACAAGCAAACCCGGAAACTCTGATATGTGCTATTGTTGTTGTTGTTTTTACTTTTAAAAAATATTCCAATAAAATGTTTATACAATTTAACGACTAAATGAAATCAAAGGTACAAACTTATGCTTGATTCAACTGAAAGAAGTCCTACAACTCTCAACATTCACCAGCTAGGGAATATTGGGAGTTTAGACTTTTTCCTGCCTGAATATGCACAGGATTACAGTACAATAGGCAAAAGATTGCCATTTAGACAGACAGAATTTTTTTCAAAGACTCCTCTGTGAGGTCAGAAAAGTGTTCTGACCTCATAGCTGGGTCTCTAAGCTCAAAACACCCTCCCACTATCATCACCTTGTCAGCAACTGGCTGCATTCCTGAAATCCAAGAGCCACCTCAGAGGTGGGGATGGAGAGGGGAAGGGGAACGTGGGGAGGCCCTGGCACCACAATGCAACATATCCTGACGGCATCTGAGACTCCTTCCTTCACGTTCTGAGGTGCTACACCCAGCTGAAATCAGCTATTTACAGGGCAGAAGGGCACCTCTGATTTTTAAGAGTTATGGGAACCTGGATTAGTGTTTTGGGATTAAAAAATTAAGATGCTTAATTACTTTTTTAAAATCCTTGTTGACTAAATACAAATAAAATTAATACACTAGGTTAATTTAAAGCATCAGAAATTAGTTTAGAGCATTAGAAAAGTTTCCAATTCAAACTGTTCCAGGAAACTCACATCACTGCTGACTGTCAGGTACAGGTACCACATGTAATCCCAGATGTATATAAGTCAATACCATGCACATAATTCTATATCTACCAGCTTATCACATGTATGACAGTTTTCCAAAACTTTGTACTATGCAAACTTCCTTTCCAAGACTAATAGTAGCTTCAGTGGAAGAGAATTTTCACTGGGATTATGATGCAGGAAGGGTAAGGATTAACCCCACTCCCACCCCATGCCAAAATTTTGATCACCACATCCTAAAGCGGAAATAAAGGGTGCAATACAAAAAGTTTAGCTTGCTATAGGAAAAGTAGAGCCTCAGTTTTAACCTCGGAAATGCAGTCCAATGTCAAGCTGAGACTCTGAGTTTGTAGTACCTCCCTAGACCCTCAAGTCTGATTCAGAAAGAAAAAACTGTGGCTGGAATTCCAAGGTCATAAGACCAACCTTGGAGTTGCAGTTTTGTGGGTTTTCTAGGGGGCACTGAGGAGAAGTGTAGTATCCTGCTGGTGCTTCGGCCTCTTCTTCCCATACTACGAGGCAAAACACTTTGTTGGCTGAAATTGCCATCTACATTTTGCAGGACAAAAGGAGAACTGCAACAACCTTCACCACTTTATCTTCACTAGATGTAGATGCCCGTAATCCTCTGGGTTTGGATTGTACCACCCAAGTATTTAAAAGGCATCACTAAAATACATGTCACATAGAGTTTGGCCTCAGATTCCATGTGAATTAGGGCAGCAGCAAAGCTCCCATTTCAACATTTTCTAGAAAACTCACATCAGTATGAGATACTTTAAAAGATGAAAGCAGCAGCCCTGTGTGTATCTTGGGGGGGGGGGGACAAATGTATGTTCCCACTAACATAGTTTTTATACTCACACTGCAGACTGGTTCAAGAAAAACTGCTTAAGAACATAACACGCACCATCTAGTCCAGATTTGTGTTCACACAGTGGCCAACCGGCTACCCACAAGCAGGGTATCGGTCCAAAAGCACCCTACTGCCCAAGTTCCCCAGCAACTGGAGTATATAGGCATACTGCTTCTGGTATTGTAGGTGCCATACAGTCATCACGAATACTAGCCAGTGTCCAATCCCTTTTTAAAGCCGTCTAAATTAGTGCCCATCACTACATCTTGTGGAAGTGGATTCCATAGTTTAGCTATGCACTGCGTGAATAAGCATTTCTTCCTATCTGCCCAAAACTTTTTACAAACTAGCTTCATGGGATGACCCTGGGTTCTGTTTTTATGAGATGGAGAAAAATGTCCCCTTGTCTATTTTTTCCACCACATGTTATTCTGTGCACCTCTTCTGTAAAGCTCTTATTCAGCTTTATTCTAAGCCACACAATCTCAGCTGTTATAACCTTTCCTCACAAGGGGAGTTGTTCCTATCCTTTGATCATTTTAGCAGTCCTCTTTTGCACTTTTCCCAACTCTACAATATCCTTTTTCGGTGCAGTGACCAGAACTGTAATTAATATTCTAAGTGCAGTCACACCACAGATTCGTATCAGGGCAATCTGACCTTCATATGCCTACTTCATTGCTTCATTTCTTTAGCAACCGTTTGTCAATTTTCTCCCATCTGCACTTGAATTTCTTTTGCAAGCAAAATTTCTTCCCAGACTTTTGAACAGTGTGCAACCCCCACATTCAACAATACCGTGCTTGCTACCTACTGCTCACAGGAAATGTCTCTCAAGTTGGGGATGAACCATGCCTAGAGGGAAAAGTAGGATAGGAGGGAAGAAACCTCTAACGAGGTTAGAGAAAGCCAACAGGCAGGCTTGACTGGGTTAAATGCCCCGTTAGTTCATCGCCGAAAACAGGTGTTTACACCGCAGAAACTCCCGCTTTAAACAATTGGAGAGATTAAAGTGGAACACGTTTGCACGTTTGAATTAGACAAGTAACGTAATTGTGTACACAGCACATCCTGCCTTGCCAACTCACCACCGACTGGGAGCCAGGCACATCCACCCGCGGAGCTCGGGCTGGATTCACCCTCTGCTCCGGCTCCGCTCCCTCTCCAGCACCCACGCCCCGGCCGCGGGACGCCTTCGCGCACCGTGCAAGGAAGCCCGGGATCGTGCAAAGGCAGCTCCCCAGCAAGCGCCCCACCAGGTGCAGTGGGGCGCCCCTGGCCGCGCTGCAGCCCCCCAGGGCCGAAGGCACGCGCCCTTCGTCCCGCTCCTTCTCCCCGGGGAAGGCCGACGGAGCGCCCGCTCCTCGCAGAGGCGAGGAGGCAGAAGGCCACGCCAGGCGGGCCGAGCGAGCCGGCCCGCCGCCGCCGCCCGCGACCCCCCGGCCCGCCCGCACTCACAGCTGGTGGCGCCGCTCGGGCAGCCGCCGGTGCAGGGAGATGCGGTCGCTGAGGTAGATGTTGATCTGGTGCCGCCGGACGCTCTCCTCCTGGCGGCGCTGCTCGGCCTCGCTCAGCTCCAGCCGCGCCGGCCGGCCCAGCTCGCCCAGCTCCGTCTCCGCGCCCAGCGGCGGCTTGTCGTACACGGGCCTGCGCAGCCGCCGGCGCGCCTCCTCGGGCGGCAGCGACGGGGCCGCCGCCGGGCCGCGCTCGGCGCCGGCCCCGCCGCGCCGCCACAGC